GTTTCTGAAGTACGTTGAATGTATGTTTTGTGCACCTATATATCATTGCCAATCAAATTTTTAAGACATCTCAAATTGGGCATATATATCATAATAAGATCAAATGAGTAGTATACATTTTTATGTCAATTATTATATTAAAAATAGTGGTATATATTCTCATCCCATTGCTCCCACACTTCACTTTTGTTGAGTTGGTGAAGAATGATGAAAATCTTTGTATATAATCCTTCCGGTCCAAAATAAACTTCACACTTCTCTTTCCTTCCTTATTTAGCAAATTATCTACATCAAAACAGTGCAAAACAGTGTCAAACAGTGTCACAACAGTGTACTATACAGTAAAGTCAAGTTTATTTTCTTAATTTGTGTGAAGTCAAAGTGTGAAGTTTATTTAGGACTGAGGAAGTATATAATTATATTTATATAACTCAGAAAGGTTCATGTTGGATTTCAAAAGGGCTAATTATGTTCTTTTTTATATTGTAGTGATTATTAGTGCGTACACATACTAACATTAATAAGAAGTAATGTTTTTTGCTCACACGCTATGTTTCAATAACATTTAAGAAAAGATTCAAAATAATTTTTGTTGTACTTTTTAATTGATCTTTATCTTAAAATTATTTACATAGTGCATATGGTATTTTTTTATTGCATGATAATTTAAAAAAATGGTTAACTTTATACTTATCAAAGATTAAGTTTTGCATTTCCCAAAAAAAGAAAAAGATTAAGTTTTGAAAAAAGTAGCATTCTATTATTATTATTAATTAATATGTTCATGAAAAAACTAAACTTAACTATTTTAGTTTTTTCTTCAAATATTGTAACTCGTATTTATTAAGTGTTACTCGTACATAAAATCGTATAATTAATTTGATAGGTAAAACTTCAGAGCAAACATGTGTAGATAAAATAAAGTATGAAATTTCATGAAAATATCATAGTTGTATGCATTAATTATCATCCATTCATAAGGGTGTTTACTTTTGGACTATTTTTAGTCGCATACCAAACCAGATCAAACTTAAATAGACTAGACCAGACCAAATTAGATCAGACTTGGGCAGTTATAAAATACACAGACCATATATTTACCAGACCAGAAGAGACCAAACTAGACTTAAATAGATTAGACATTTTAGACCAGATCAGGAAATTTCAATAAAAAAGAAAACGTCCTAAATTAGAATTCTTTCTGAAAATATATATATGCGAATCAATTATTTTTCCTTTCTAACTGAAACACAAAAAACATTGAATCAGCTTCCATGCGTCACTATATATGCATCATATATGATCTCAGAAAACATGTGAAACCATATTTTCAATTAGCAACACCTACTTAGATTGTTGAAGTTATTATAGGTAACTATATATGTTGTGTATACCTATACATGCATTTCTAAATTTAGATGCTTCAATTATTTACGCCAGACAAATACGTAATCTTTTTTTTTAATTCCTAAACGGACACGATACCTTTGAAAAATAAAATAAAATAATTTATGAGAGGGAAGCTTAATTTTTAACAAGAAAACATGTACAAAAAGTCTGAAACGAAAGAGAAAATACAAGATGTAAATTAATTTAATACTCCGTACTAATAAAACTAGAAAGTCATTAGAACAAATTGGCTAATAATTTATGAGATTTTTCCTTAAAAATCACTAGAATATAACTAATGGAAAATCATGGTAACTAATAAAGTTACTATAATAGTCACTAACTCATATTTTTGTTTTTGCTTTTATTTATGTCATACATTTTTCATTATTTCATAATTTATGTAGGGACAGTTGAGGTTATTCTAAATATATTACTGGAATGAAACTTAAAAAAATACTGAAATGAAAGTTATTTACAAAAATAGGATTAATAATTACTTTAATTAGTATAATTTCCTAGTCACTTTAGTATAAAAATTGAATATGAGTTACTAATATCAAGTTACTATATTTAGTTATATATGTGTAATTATATCGGAGAAAGTTGATATATAGTGCAAAAAGCTTTGTTGGTCACACGAGAAAAGTGTTTGCCTACTCAAAATCTGAATACACAAAAGGAAATATACAAAAAGAAGAATCAACAGTCACATCTTATGAGAATTAGGTCTCAAACACGAGTGAAGCTTTGAAGATCTGATTGAAGAATTTACTGAGGGCCTAAGTTTCTTTTTGGTGAGGTTTTATCGTTATTCTTTGGGTTGGGTTTATAGCTACGGAGTATTAGTTTGTCTTTTCTTTTATTTCCATTTTGCAATTTTTTTACCTCTCTTTTTTTTCTTCTTTCGTTGTATCTTCTTTCATTTCTTTTCTAATAAAGCTCTATTTTTCCAAAAAAAAAATATCGAAGAAAGTAATGAAATCTAGAACCCAATATACTTCCTCCATTCTTTTTTTAATTGCAACAGTCCACTTTTCACGCTTCCCAATGCACAAGTTTGAATATTTGTCATTCCTTATTAGTAAAAAATTTAAAAAATTCAGATTTTGAAAATATAAAATGAGAGGAATTTAAAAAAAAATTTCAAGATTTTAATCCATAATACATTAATCAATAAAAAACAATCAAAATAGAATATGTGCAAAAAGTTCAATGTTACAATTAAAAGAGAACGGAGATATATATCATTCGATCCATTATTTTCAAAAATTTGAGCTCTATGTGGACATACTTCATCTGAAAAATTTCACCCTAGCACGGACCTGACGGACCTGCCTCCCATCACAAGTTATTTAAGGATTCGCCACGGTCATCGATCAACTACCGGCGGCTGACTAAACCGGGCCATTAATCATTAACCGCGGAATGCCAAACGAGACTACAATCATTGCGGTGGTTTCGCCCAAGGCTCAGATGATCGAGACGCACATGGCTAGCAGCTGGGCTAAGGTTGGGCCAGTGGGAAAGCGTAGTATATATATAATGTGTGTTGTGGACGGCCAGACCGTTAGGCATAAACAACCTACTATCTTATGGACACTCTTCCTTCTTTAATTAATTATTCTTTTTTTTTTTTTGGTAACAAATGCGTCACAGGTAAAGGCGGCAATGTTTTGGAAACATCAGCTCTTCCCTTTCCAGCCCAAAAGAAAGGCAACATGTAGCTTGCTTGGCTATAAACTTAATTCTACGTCCACAAAAACACAAATCAAAGAATACAATAATACTTATAGAAATAGGAGCAAAAACGTTTTGAAAATCCAAAATAAGAGTATCATGTTTTTTATTCCTTAAATAGGAGTAATCTTTCAAATTTGGAAAAAATGCCATGTTTTAAAGCCTAGTAATGACAAACTTGGCAGAAATTTACTCATATTCAAAGAATAAAAAACATGATACTCCTATTTTGGATTTTCAAAACGTTTTTACTCCTGGAAATTCTCCCAAATATATAAAAACTTCGGAATAGATTGACAAAAATGTACTCCGTATATATGTTTTTCTTTTGAAGTTTTCCTGAATGGCGTAGCGAGAAATGACATATTATGATGTTTTTACTTGGACTGTAATTTGCTGGTCCGGTCTGGTCTGATCTGGTCTGGTCTGGTCTGAACTGGTCTGGTCTGGTCTAGTCTGATCTGGTCTGGGATGAATTACAGTCCAAGTAAAAACATCCTTAGAGGGCCAGAGCTTAATGAATTTATACCGGAGGTCAATGCTTGAATATTTATACATGTGCATGTATATACATTACAATTTATACAGCCAGCCCCGTTTCTACCCTTACCTCAATGGGAATGTTAACGATATAAAATTGGAAAATAGGAAGAATATAATTTCATTCAAAATGGGAGTAAACTAATGTAATTCCTAAATCATAGTTGTCATGATTGATATTATTTTATTTTCAACCAAGATAGTAATTACTTTTATTTAAAAAAAATATAACATTATATTATTGCCAAAGAGTGACGTGGTTGGATTATAGATGCTCTCATATCATTCAATTCAATTCTGAATTAATTAATTAATATAATTATTACTTGTAATTGCTAGCCGCTAGCTATTGCTCAACTTTAACTGACAAGGATGCAAATATTGATTTGTTTTTAACTTAATTAATGACGTTGCCGGCCGGAAAGCAGCTGCGAGCCAATTGCGTTCAAGACTCGGACAACAAACATAATACATTTGCAAACCTCATGCTACTACGTAACCAAAAGCTAATTAAGCTAGTAGTTGTTACTTTAATTTTCAAATCACCAATTAAATTATTTATTATACCTCTTAATTAATTAATTAATCTTTTGAATCATACTTCCGCGTGTGCCTAACCTAATGACAAATGCAAAGAAAACTAAAATGTAAGTATTTAATTCATTGATTAATCAATTAATAATAATAATAACAACATTAATAATACGGAGTAGTAATAATAGTAGTAGTAGTAATAATAATAACAATACTACTACTAATAATAATAATATATGGTGACAATTACGTCGCGAAAGTTGGAAAACGGTGAAATAGATTTGATTTGAAATACGAACTTGACATTAAAAGAATCTTTTAAAAAAATGGTTAAGTTCTAGGCACCTACAGTATTTGATTTTACGCTTAAATATATAAGTCCGTATTTCCAATCATATATATACTGATACTACGTACGTAGTTTATTACTGAAAAACGAATCTGATTTTTTAAATGCATACATGATCAACTAATTATGTTTCCTTCTCAATATTTGATCAAAGGACACATTAAAGTTCCAATAGCTTAAATATATATACTACGCTTATACGGAGTATTATTTATGTTCATTTTTAAAATTAAATTTAGTTTGAAATTAAATTGCATTTATATTCTTTTTCATATTTATATGTAAATATTTGTGTGTGTGTGTGTGTATATTTATACTTAGTAAAAGTTAGTTTGAAAATAATTTTTAGAATCAGTATGAGCTTTAATTAGATAAGTTAAGAACACATAAACTGCAATAATAATGCGAAAATAAAAGCATGATGAGGATATATACATAGTATATACTCCGTATAATAATAATACATATGCATTAACCAATCATACATAAATTATTTCAAAACGTGCAGAAAAACAGAAGATCTACCTAGTTTACACACAGACAAGGAATTAAATTAACAGTTTCTTTATTAATTACATCCTTGAATTGGTTCCTTATATTGGGAATAATAATAACTCATGAAGTTAACAAATTTCCATCACGAATATTATATTACGAGTATAATTTAATTAGTCAATCATGGTCGTTGACTGGGGGTGTTTGATGATCCTTTGGAGTATGACCGTCCTCGCCCTCCGAATATCCCGGCTGCAAACATCAGCCTGCTTCCCCAAATCCTCAATGTTCTTCATGAACCCATCCAGCTTCTTCTTGATCTCTCCAATGGCTATCTTCACCGCCGCCCCTTCGTTATCAATGGCGAAGTCCGCATTCTCTAACATCATCTTCATCTCCATCTCCAATCTGTCGATCAGAACCCTTATTGTGTCCATGTCCTTGATGCTCACATAGGTCCCCGCCTGCATCCCGTTGATCGTCTCCTTCTGTCCCTTTATCGCGTCCTCGTAGTTCTTGAGGAGCGAGTCCACCCACTTCCCCATCGACCCGAGCGGGACAGAGGCAGCAGCCGCGAGCGCCCCGGCGACAGGCGGGGCAGCTACTGCGGCTGCCACCACTGAACATATCAGAACGGCTGCAAAAGCAGCCGCGAATATGATCCCCGAGACTTTTCTCCACGACCCGATGGACTTCAACTTCTTGTCGAGCTTCGTCTTCCTCGACTGAAGCTTCTCGAGCATTACGATCTGGTTCATGTACACGGACCGGAAAATTCGAAAGAAGTCTTCCGTGAAAGGGTCCCCCGCTTCTTTCAAGCTCTTAAGCTCATCAATGGCTTCCTCATAGTTATCTGTCTCAAACTGCTGGATTGCAACCTGAATCAGAAGTTGCCTGTCGCGGGCCCGCTTTAGACACTTCTCTAGCTCCACACAAAAGTCTAACGTTTTCAAGCTGTTGTCAAAGTACTCTTCCACCAGCTGGAACAACTCTTGGTTTCTCCAAATATCTTTTTTGCATTCTAAGATCACCTTAACCACTTGTTGATCCATGTCTAAAAGGCACTCGGTGACGTCCTTCAACGAGTCGAAGGATAACGCTCTGACCTCGATCCCGCCCCCAGCGATGGAGCTAAGCGCATGGTTAGTCCTCGCTTGGAGGGCGGAATCGAAGTCGTGCATATCGTCGTGGGATCGGCAAGCGGATTCATACGAGCTTACGAGATTTGTGGTCTTATAGAGATTGCAAAACGCGCCCGCGGAAGACGAAGATGATGATGGTGTTGAGGTTTGGACGACATGTTGATGAAGGTGATGATGTTTGAAGCTACTTTGTGCCCCTCCCATGGTTCTAAGAAAGTTGCTGCTGCTGCTACTAAAACAAGAAAACATTCTTTTTGGTCGTTGTGATAATTAATGAGAATAATTTATCAATGATCAAAATGTCTCTTTCGAGGATCAGAAATAATTATTAGAAGATATTTGTGTATTTATGAATGTGGGGGATGGAATATGAAGAGGAAAGTGACCATCCGAGCTTATATATTTATAAATAAAGATTAGAGCTAGCGAGGAGGAAGGAGATATGTGGCAATAGCTTGCACGCATGATTCTATTGTTCAAATGTGGAGATGGATAGAAAACAAACGCGGGAAGCAATCTCTCTCTCTTCATCTACCACATACACGTATACACAAATGTATTTGTAACTATATATAATAATAATATAATTATTATACTTTTTTAGATGATAAATACCAAGTTTATATTTATTTTATAATATATACACCTATGTACATTCAATCAGATATAATGTTTCACATTGGCGGAATTGGTGTCATGTTTTCTAATTCCCTTAGTTTCAACTAAAAATAGTTCATGTTCAAATGAGCCTAGGTGTGGAAAATTTGCTAAACATGAGTAAACTATAATTGTTTTCTCTATATATTCTATATAATTTAGAGCCTAAGTCTAGCTTCATAAAAGACCCCTATATGTAATATTTGTATTTGTTTGTAGTACAACATTTTTAGAAATAAAATATTAATATCTCAAAAACTCAATTGTTAAAAAAAATCTTACATTATAACATAATGATACCGAAGATATATACTCTCTCCGTCCCGAAATAATTTTCCTGCTTTCCTTTTCGGTCCGTCCAAAAATAATTGTCATGTTTCCTCTTTTGACAATAATGTGTGGGTCTTATCAATTCAACTTTATCTACTCGAATCTCAACTACGACTTTTACCTTTTCAACCACTTTCTTAAAACTTGTGCTAAAGCAAACAAGACGTTTATTTTGGGACGAAGGAAGTATTAAAACAACTAATTAAGTACAACTCACCGAATAGTTTTAGATGCAAATGTATTAATCAATTCGGTATAGCCCAGGTCTTCAATATATTTCTTCTTAATTGATAATATAGCTAATCCATTCAACCTTTTTGAGATGCTTGATCGCAGAAGCGTACGTCTTTATTATTATTATTATTATTATTATTATTATTATTATTATTATTATTATTTTGCAGAGAGTGTGTACGTCCTTATAAACTTCAGTTTTGAAAAACATATTGACTTGCTACTATCACGGTATAGTTAACAAGAATTTATAGGCAATGCACGCATTAGAAAAGCACTTTTCCTCTTCAAATAATTTACCACAACGGTCGCATATTTTGTTTCTTTTGATAAAGAATACGGAGAACTTCAAAAAAATGAAGAATTTACCCTTTCCATTTTTTTGTACAAATACAAATTAAAGCATATAATTTCATTAATTGTGGATTAAAAGTTCCACAATTTTTAATCTTGGTAGTCTTAAATAATTAAAAAATAAATCTTAATTCTCAAATATAAACATTTCACCAAGGCACAACGTACCCTACTTTACTGCTTCAAAAAACAAGCAAGATTCAACTAATTTTTTATTTTTAAATAGCCTTTGTTTATGCAAATACTTCAAATCTCAACCAATAATATAAGAATTCGTTAATAATTAAAGCAATTAGAAAATAAAAATTAATAAGTTAGTTCATTCTGTCATTCACAAATCAATAATTCATCGAATAATCAAATCAATATAAAAGCAAAATTTGTTTGGTAATAACAACAAATTAGCAAATTTGGGAGTTTAGAGTTTTACTTGACTACTCAATTGGTCAATAACTGTTCCGTCGATTTTGTTACTTCTTTGGGATCGATTTAAGCCAGACATCCAAATAACCAGCATAACCCCGGCCTTTATTTTATTTTTAATACATATACAATACGTAGTATAAAGGTACTTAAATTTTTGGGCCCCTAATTTTTAAATTTTTTGAGGCCCTGATGAGGAAGGTACTAGAGAAAGTAGCTAGTAATATATACTCCCTCCGTCCCTTATAACTTTGCCAACTTTCCTTTTTCGGTGGTCACAAAAACTTTGCCACTTTCCCTTTTAATCAATCAATTTGTGGCTCCTGTTATTTCTCTCTCCTCTTCACAAATCTCTACCGCACAATTTTTACTTTATTATTCTAAGTGTCGGTCAAATTTGACAATCCTTTTACTACATGAGTTAAGCAAGTACACTTTTACACCTTTTCAAATATTTATATGTTAAATATTTGTAATGAAGATCATGTGTCCATGTATATATCAAGTGAATAAGGTAGTCTGCCATATACTATGAGCATAGCAAATTAAGCATTTGGTCCCCGGTTCAACTCCAACTAGAATTTGGTTTTTATGTTCTCCTGCACACCAAATTAGATGACAAGGAATGGCAGGTGAATACTAGATACATGGCATGGAATAATTAATGTCAAAACATGGCTGTAGTTATTTCAGTTTAGGGAATGTAAGCATGACAATTCTATTTTGGAATTTCAAAATGTTTTAATTCCTATTTTTGAATTTTTATTTTATTTTATAATTATATTTACGTAAGTGTCAAGTAAAATGTAAAAAATTAAAAAAAAATCATGATATCTTAATTATTACATTTTACTTTTATGGAAGTAGAATTTTATTTTGAGTTGTCTAAATAAGAAAAGTGAAAGCTTATGAGACGTGCATCCCATGAGTAATATAGAACAAAAAGTGTGTGCGTGTAATATTATTAGATCTGATATATAATTAATATTTTTATCGTAAGAAAATATACTACCTCTATTCTTTTTTAATTGTAAAAATTTGACTTTCACATGTGTCAACACGATTTTAACTGTAACTATACTCCATTCGTCCCCCAATTAAGTTCCCGATTTGACTTTACACATATTAAGAAAATAAATTTGACTTGACTGTGGAGTGCACTTTTTTGCACTGTTCAAACACTGTTTGGGCACTGTTTGACACTGTTTTTCACTGTTTGACACTGTTTTGATGTAGATAATTTGCTAAATAAGGAAAGTAAGGAAGTGTGGACTTAATTTAGGAACTGCCCAAAAAGGAAAGTGGTAACTTAATTGCGGGACGGATGGAATATTTAATTACATATTAATAAATATCATAAAAAATTTGCATTTTGGAAGTTCATTTTAAGACAAATAAAACAATACATTATACACAATAATTTTATTATATGTTGGAGATAACTACTATTAACCCCCTCAGGTTAGGAGGTCAGAAACTCAGAATCCCTAATTCAACCTTGCATTTTAAAAGTCAATTATTTGACCCTTGTATATATTTTGATTATTCACATTGTTTGTCCCTCATAAGGTAAACTTAATCATATTTAACTTCATATATTGTTAAATCAAATGAAAGCTTTTTAAAATACGGAGTATACGCTTTAGGCAAAAGGGTAAAACTGGTTCATGTACCAATCATGTTAGCTCAATTACGCTCATGAACTAAAAAAAGTTCAAATTCGGACCCTGAACCAACAAAATTAAAATTAGTTCAAATTTTATTTTCTACGGATAAACACCCGATCACCTGACACGTCACATGTCTAACTGCCACTTGTGCATATGAAGTTGAAACTTAAAGCTCAAATAAGTCCCCTAAACTATTAAATATAAAAGAAATAAAATAAAAACTATTAAAAAGTGTAAAAATTATAGTCAATCCAAATTAAAAAACAATAAAATAGAAAAAAAATAAAAAATAAAAAATATAATTATAAAAATTAAAAAGTATAAATACGAATCATAAGTTTAGTTTTAGAATTTATGTTCATACTTTATATCAATGTTTTTACATCAATATTTTATACGTAGCATAAGATTTCATTTTTATGTAATTTATTATTTTATCATTTTATTATATTTTATCATTTCATAGGTTTTGAATACAAAATATGAAATATAAAGTAGGAATTTTAAATTCTTCAAAAATAAGTTATAGAATACAAAATGTAAAAGTTCAAATCAGAAATATTTTGTATAGCGTAGAGTATAAATATGATTATTTTATCTGTATAATAAAAAATAAAATAAATAAGAATAAATGTAAAAAATCTATTGATATATTCCGTATAAATTATAAATGTTAGAATAAAACTAAAACTCGGAAGAAAAAATCCCTAAATAGGAACAAAACATAGGAAATGTTCTCAAATAAGTATGTCGTTATTTTCATCCTAAAATAGGATTCATGCACTCCTAGTTAGGATTAAAGAGGTCCTATTTAGAAAGAAAATATAATTTAGAATTTTTTGTATTTTCATCCTACTTGATCAATTTTTACACCTAAATATTTTATCTAGTATAATATAACATATTTAAAAAATACATAAAAAATATAAAATATGTAAAACAAATAAAAAAAATGCAAAACATAAAATTTAATGTAGGAAATGAAAGCATTAAAATAAAAATTTAAGAGTAAAATATAATGTGAATATATATATATATATATGTATATATATATATATGTATATATATATATATATGTATATATATATATATCTTTTCACCTTTTTTATATTTTATATTCAAATTTTATATTAACTAAAAAATAAAATATTCTTACCATATCTTTTCTAAATCGTCAACACTAACAATCCATCCGTCGCCACCAAAAGGAGATTTCAGTAAATAACCAAATATTAGACCTGGACTCAGGGTCAAGCTGGTAATTTTCTTCTTACATCTCCTCCTCCTGGGGTCCATGTATCATACTTTTAAGCCTACCTTACATGAATATTTTCATATATATATATACATACATATATATACATACATATATATATATATATATATAAAAAGACTAATATATATATATATATATATATATATATATATATATATAAAGACTAATATATATATGTATAAAGACTAATATATATATATATATATATATATATATATATATATATATATATATATATATATATATATATATATATATATATATATATATATATATATATATATATATATATATATGATCAAGTGAGAAAGACATCTTAGAAGAGAAATGAGAATAAATATTAGTCATTAGATTTATTGGGCAAATTTGACATTTCGTTTTTCTTTGCTCGTTGCATCAACACACTTTCTCCCTATTTTGTAATT